TTTGTATCTTTAAACGCTAATCCAATTTCAGACGTTCAGTCACTAATCAGCTGTGCGTTTACAGGTCTATGCCTGTGAGTGTGTAAGTGTTAATGTGTGGGGGTGGGGGAGGTGTATGAGAGAGCGTCGGTGTGCCTGTGTGCAAAAGTGTTCTTTCCCTTTTCAAACCAACCTCTGCTCCCCTGACATCACTGGACTTTCCCCTTCCTTTTTCATATATACTAGTGCATCTCCAGTCCATAAACACATTCGCTACACTTATCTTCAAACTTGTACCTTGAACAAGCACACTGATCATTTGAAGACTTGTGTCAGGGTCACAAATAACAGCATAAGAGCTATTACGACAACAAGCGCAGAATGGAGAACTACAAAATGACAGCGGTAGATATTGAGACTGGCATGGGGGACGTCTACCGAGCAACTGTGGAGAACGGGAAGCCTTCTAAAAACTGGACATGGAACATAATTGGTGTTGTTTTCTTGATCGGCCTCTGCAGTGCAGCATCTTTCTTGTTTGCATGGCACTTCACGGTAAGTGGGAAGCGACATTATAGGAAATAGTTTCATTTGTACAGTTTATAGATACGAGAGTGAGATAAGTGGTGACAATAGCTAAAATCTTTTTGATGATTCTCCACAGAGACACAGTCAAAGAGACCCTACTACAACACATCAAAGCACCCCAACCACAGGTAAGTAACAGGGGATGATTCATCAGAACACATTCATACATGTAGGGCATTGTTCATGGTTTTCATCACTGTAAAATGGCATTCATATTATTTACAAGAAGAACATTTCTGAGGTCTTCAAACCTCAACCTGAACACAATGCTTTGGAATCAGGAGCCATGTCTGATTCTACTGCTGTTCCAATGTTTGAGTCTTAGGTGATTCAATTCTAAACTCCTACTGTTTCTTCTCTGCAGAACATCACCGGCAGATACTAACACAGATAGGAAACAATACAAAGGCTGCCATTCATCTTCGTGGTAAGTTACAATACAAATGACCTGCATTTGGCTTCTTCTTTTGTTCTCTATTGTTAAAACAGGGTTCGATATCTTTCCCACACCCTTAAGGAAAAGCCGTCTTATCAGATCTTTTTATTAGTCATTAGTCAGATTAGTCACAGCAGCTTCTTATTGTGTTGATGATGCAATGCCAGATGGAAACAATCTCATGGGATTCGGATGTGGTCAGAGTAGCAAAGGGCCATGTGATAGAAGAATGACCAAAGTGACATCATTTTGTATATCTGTAATAGCGTTTAAATTGAAAATTGAAGTGAACCTTCACATTTATACATCGTTGCTGTTTCACAAAAACTTTGTACCTCTAGTTTTGTCATTTTTTTTCCATTTCTTGCATAATTTAAAACACCAGTTACCCTTAGCATTTTGTTAAAAATTCATAAAAATTGGATTAGAAATGGTCAAATTATTTTCCTTCTCCTGTAAAGTTACCATTTTGGAGATATGAGGTTTTGTCCCGACAAATGATGATATGTCGTCACTGTTGTAACAACCTCCTACCTCAAAATAGTAACTTTATAGAAGAAGAGGAAACCTAATTTAAATGTACTTTAATGTAAAGCAACACTATTCAAAGCAATTTTCAATCACTTCTATTGTCTCATTCGTAACAATTTAAATTATGTTAAAAAAGGTCTGGTGTTTTCAAACGGTACAAAAAAAATAAATAAATGTTTTCATATGGTTGTGACAATACACAATAAAAATCAGCAGCCATGGCCATCAGAGGTCAAATCATGTCAGTTTAGCCCTCACCTCTAATAAGAAAACTCCCCAGTAATACCATTTAAGGGGGTTTCAGCTCTCAGTTCATTTATGTCTAAGGTTCAACCAGTTCATTTTTTAGAAATAGCCGTTAAGGAAACCTCCGACCGCAAACCGAACAGTTCCCAAAAAGTCACCTGGTGTAGGGGCTTTCATATCGTCTTTCATCACGGTGTGGGGACATTCGTGACTGAAACGTGTGATGACATGCTAAACAGAGAAACAGAGAGAGAAGGACATCACCTACTCACACAACCTACTCAAAACGCCCCCTTCCTCTAGTTTCAGGTCTAGACAACGAGAACCAGCCTATGCAGTGGGTGAACGGTGTGGATCAGTCCTTTTCTGCTGGAGGCCTCAAGCTGGAGAACAATGAGATCGTCATTCCATCCGATGGCCTTTACTTCGTTTACAGCCAGGCATCATTCGAGGTGCCGTGCCAAGAGACAGAGAGCAACACGGCGCTGAGTTACAGCATCCGGTGGTCATCTCCTGCAGCTCCTTCCGAAGAACACCCAAGGTATCTGCTCATGGGAGTCAAATCGGTCTGCCCACCCAGCATAGAAGAGGAACAAGATGATGAGAGGCATGCGTACGACGTCATCTATCTTGGCGCAGTCTTTCGGCTTTATAAGGGTGACAGGCTGTCGACAGAGGCCAACCATCGTGCTTACATCGAAACACAAAGCTCCAAAACATTCTTTGGGGTATTTGAATTGTGAGTGCTGCACAAGACTGGTTGCTGAGTAGGTCACTTTTATGACAAAGACAAAATGTTTTATGTTAAAACATTGAAATTGTATTTTCCCCTGTGTGGTTAGAATTAAATCGCATGAGGGATGTAAAATTGCTGACGTTAATTGATATATATGATACAGTGTGTCAGAATTGCTGCATGGCTCTTTAGCCTACGGGCTGTTTTGCAATGAAATACTTAGCCTACTATTTAGGCTTTTTAGCTGAGAAATAGCTGAGCACTACTCCTCTGAACTCTTAAAGGGCCAGTGTGTTAAGCTTGGACATGAATACTGAGAAATATTGCATAGCTCACTACCTATGTAGAACTCAAATGTTATGATGTATGCACTTTTTTGTTATAAATCAGTTCAAGCTAGAAGACATATTTAAGGAATAAGTGTATTTAATGATTTTTAATTTGCTTATTTATTTGTATTGTATTTATTTAATGTATTGAATGAAATTGAATAATACTGTGCTCTTACATCATATGTATGGTGTAAGATGCTGTCCTGAGCATTATATGCTCTTTAATATAAACCCCAAGTGTTTGATTTTCTTTCAGAATCTTCTCCTTTTTTAACAATGTGATGTAAACTGATGATCTGTTCAATCAATAAAACTACTGGTGAAAGTTAAACTGTGTCAGATTTTGAAAAACAGAAACAGCTGAAAGAACTTTGTTTTTTTTTTTGTAACTAGCGTTTGTTGTGTGAGCCAGAGCCCACATCCTGCTTTGTCTCTTTTCCTTCCCTCTCCTCGAGTCACATCAGAGGATCTAACATCTACTGCAATTGCTGGCTGCCGGCCACTTCCTGAAATTGTACAAGAATGAAGTCATTGTTTTGGTTTTAAAGCTTAATGCTGCTAATTTACTTGTAAGCCCCAGGGCAAGTCAGCGGCGCTAAAACGAAGAGGATGACATCAGAATGAATAAGAATATTTTAATCGCCCTTACCTCACTCTGCGCTCTACATGATGATTGTTTGCTGTCGTGTAATGTAGACTAGTTAAACTGGGCAGATAAAGCCCCCTACAGGAGACACTGCGAAATGTTCTACATCAAACGTACTGTGTACTATAAACACATTACAAAATTCTGCACTTACAAAAGTTGTATGATACCAAAATTCATACATCATCTGTCACAGAAGATTCCAAGATACTAATACAGCTAAATTTCATTTTTATAATCCATTTCCTGTTATAAAATGAATTCTTATTGATGTTTTGGGAAAATGATGTAAAGTTTCAATAAAATAAATTAATAATAAATATTTAAGAAAATAAAACTCATCAGTCAGCTAATAGAGCACAAGCATTACTGTTCAAAAGTGAAAACACTTTTCATTTTCTTATTTCCGGCCAAAATGGCCATTAAGTTAGATATTTCTAGGGAGTCATATGCACAAGCTTTTGTGAAAGTTGTGAAAATAAATGAACCCATCCTCTACAGAGAACACACTTCTGTACATTTCAACACACAATTACTGTTTACATGCTAAATTTAACATATTGGTAAAAAATAAAACATAAAATGTGGCAAAAGTTATGCACATTTTATATGATATATTGTTTTGTTTAATAAGCTCAGAAAATATATAGAATCTATGCATTAAAATTTGCCAAACATGCCATAATTGAGCTCATTGTATACAGAGATTTCACATTTAGAAAATCAACAAAACGTCATCTGACCAGGGATGTTCAAGCTTTTGCATATGACATAAGAGCCTCCACTTGTATAAGGAAGGGAAAAAGAAAGTAAAACAAGTGGAAAAAAACAGGACTTTCCCAAAACTAGAGTTCAAGGGAGCTGGCTTTCATTCAAAAAATGAAAAGAAATAGAGAAAGTGGGACTCCTAACAACCGTGCAGGACCTGGTAGACCACCAAAACTTCCCCCCATCAGATATACAGTACTTGAAGCTTTTATCTATGAGAGATTTTGCTTCAGATCTGAAAATAATTCCCGGGTGTTTCTGTTCACCCTTCTACTGTCAGATGACAACACTGTGGGTATGAAAGACAAAGAAACAAGCTGCTTGTGGCCTCAGAACAATGGACTGACCACCCCAGAGTCCAGACCTCAATATTATTTAACATGTTACTTCGATGGTGAGAGGCAGAAGATGCAACCAACTTGTAAGACTGAACTTTGGAAGTGTGGAAAAATATCCCTGCAGATTTCTTTGAAAAACTGAAAGCAAGTCTCATGAAGAAGAGAAGCTGTGATCAAGACAAAGCGTGGATACACTAAACACTGAAAAGCTCTATATTATATTAAGTTGCTCTGTGTAATTTAGTTGATTTAAATATATGTTTTATGCTTTTTTTTTCCTGATGCTGAACAATAAAAATAATGTACTTGATGGCTGTTTTGACTGGATATTAAGTGAAGGGTGGTCTCTGATATCTCTGACACAAAAGTTTATCACCTTTTTTAAAGTCTTCTACACATCTTTTAAGGTTAGTGCAAAATAATGAGCTTTATTGAACCATGACATCCATAGAGTTTGCATAAAGATTATTTTCGTATTATATTTACAGTACATATATTAATTACAAATACATTTCCAAAACTTACATAGGAATTTGATTATTGATTAAAGATGGAATGACTTTCAGACTATCTAAATTGTAGTACAGTGCACACAGCTGATAAATAAAAGTTTATTTATTATAAAGTGATATTATAATTACATACCCTGAGCTAATATACTGGATATAATGCTTACATGCTGTAGGAACATATGATTTGTAGTGCTCTGTTTAAATATGTATGCTAAGCAACTGAACTGACATATGAAAGCAAAAGAAACTTGCTTGTTGCTTTTTTTAATGGGCTTGTAAACAACAAATGGTGTAATGTAGCAATTTATAGAACTTGGAATTACTGTGACATTGTGAAAACACACGTCCATTATGTCTTATTGTCTGATCATAGAAAAAAGCACATTTACTGAAACATTGTGAGCATTAATAATGATTGTCTTGGAATAGAAAATTTAGTGTCAAACTGATAATCTGAAATATTAATAAGTTATTCATTTCTTTCAATGAAACAGACATACTGTATCTACCCAAAAAGGTGCACAATTAAGAGTTTGGGTAAGGCTTCAAATTTGTTATGCTAGATCTGGAAACAGACTATGACAGGCTTTTTATGACTTAAAAATTTCACAAAAGGATGTAAAACAATTTCACCATCAGTACACTGTGCTTTATATTTTTGTGCCTATTAAGTGAAAATTCTTTTGTACTGATGAAACAAGACTCTGTAATATAGACGTGGCCTTTAGTGATCCCAAGTGTTATACAGTGGCCACTGACAAAAAATAAATAAATAAATAAATAAAAACACAGAGTTGCTAAGCCAGTAGTGTAACTGATTATTTCTTTTGAACTACTGATATTCTTAAAGAGGCAAGCTGACTAAAGTGACTAATTTCAGATCATTTTAGTAAAATTGTCTACATAGTCCATAATGATTTATTTTACATAGCATGACCTGCAATCTCATGATAACCTTGAATATTAATGTAAACTAAATATCCCTTAAGACATTCAAGGTTTTTACATTAAAGAATTAGCCAGAATATGTTTTTTGCTGAAATTTTGCTTCTTTAGTGTTGTGCTGGAGGCTAACTTTGCTAACAAACACTAGACGCCAATAGTCACCCAAATTTTCCGTAAATATATCCCCACAACCTCTCTCAACTACAAACCGCATCCGGGTTTTCAATAAGGTCATGCAGACTTGTCAGTGTGGATTGGGACAGTATGACTTACTGTCAACTATAAAAATGAATTAAAAACTTTACCATGTAGCTAAATGCGGTTTGCACTTGAGCTATGAGGCTAAGATTGCTATCAATCACTAGAAGGCAATAGACAGCCAGATCTTTTCTGTAAATGCTTCCCCAAAACTTCTCCCAAAATTGTATTTATTTTTATAGTTTACAGTTACAAATGAAACTGTCCTAAACCACATCGACTAGTCTGTATGGCATTAATGAAAACCTTCTGGTCAACTTCTAGTGTTTGATAGCAACATTGGCCTCGTAGCTCTAGTGCTAAACTAAAGAAGTAAAATTTGGACACTAAATAATGCACTTAACTGCATGCATTAAAGAAAATATACTGGAGTAAAAACATGGCTTTCCCAAATATAGAAGAGTTAAGTAAAAAAGAAAATACAATAAATACAGTCAATTTTGTACATTACAGTGCTAAAAGAAAGAAAGAAAGAAAGTAAGAAAGAAAGAAAGAAAATTTTATTTTTCCATTACAATCCAAACTAAATATTGACATATTTGATGATGGTTAAAGGAATAAGAAGCAAGTCCCTGGAGCACTGGCAGGACTGGACACACTAGAAGAAAAAACAAAGCTTGCTCATTCCCCTCTCTTCCATCCCAAAAATTAGACTCTATATGGAACATATGGGGATCATGACACTTGGAGGAAGACTTATTTAGATCAAGTGTCAGAAACCAATGGAATGGTGTCACAAAGTTTGCAAAAAATCATGAGAATCAAGAGATCCACGGGAGCTGGCTTTAGTTTGCATAAGAGCAGACTCCACTGGATATGGTTAATTATGCAACCGTTAGTTTTGACCACACCATCTGCTAAGCTCTATTATTGGTGCTATCTCTTATATCATGATGTACTGGGGCCTCTTTGTTTTGCTATCAAGTTTGCTTAGCAAAAATATTATGTAAAAGCAACAGGACGCTCACAACAGGCTATCTCTCATGTTATATTGCTTAAAATGTCAACTTCTCTAAATGGTCAGGGACTCCCCTACTCAAGGTATCATGCTTTTATGAGGGATTCCCCAATTATGGGGAGGGAGACGAGAGTGACATTTTGTATTTAGCTTCCTCTGTCTCACTTCCTCAAACCTTAGGGCACAATGCAGAGCTCAATATCATTTGTGTGTCTTTGGAAAACAGTAATTAAATTAGTAGATAGTAATTAAATAGTAAAATGCACTTTCTCTTTGCGATCCAGGGGAGAATCAATGGTCCAAAGAAAGGTACAAGGGCCTGTATTTTAGATAACATATTTTTGCTCCAAATTCCAGGTGGTTGTTTTAATATAAACTTGCCCTGATGCAAGACTACACTTTTCTCTATTTTCTAATTCACTTTAGTGCTTTAGTGCACAGCATTATATTGATACAGTGATGACATATAATATGCCATGACTTGAGACAGAAACACGATGGTGAGAACAGAGGTTAATAAAGAGTGGAGTCAGAGAGTTGACATGCCTTAAGTCAGAAAGCAGTAATTTTTGCACTACACAAAGTTAACCGTACCTCCTCATCACACAGCGTGTTTAGTGCCAGTCCTGCTCGGCTCATTTATAGAGCAGAGGCAGACGACTGTTGTGGCAGTGATTCCGGCTCAGCTTGCCTTCTCCCTGGTACAGGTTGGAGGAGTTGGAGAAGGAGGGGGGCAGCGAGTGCTGCTCAGTCCCCGGCGAGTAGCCGGGTGGCTCGGCCTGAGACGAGGGTAGTGGAGGGGCGCTGTGGTTCTGGTTCTGATTTTGGCTGGACGTGTGTCTCCGTGAACGAAGAGCTTGGCGCTCTGCCAACTGGTTTCTCAGCTCTGTCACTCTTTCCTCTTTCTGTGAGAAAAAAATGATATATAATTTGATTTATTACATAAAAGCATATTCACTCCATTTTACTGTACTCTAAAAGTAAGACAGCTTTGCAAAATATATAACAGTAATTAAATAAAGACAAAAGAATATGAATACAATAAAATAAAGTAAAAAGAATACACACTAGCATTCAAAAGTTTGGAAACACTATTTTTGATAACATTAAACTAATCTTGCTGCACACACGTGTAAAATGAGCAAAATATGAAGCTGTTATTCTATAGGTTTCAATGATTAGATGATGATTTCTTAGTAACTGAGAAAGCTGTATAGCATATACTCAATCATTCAAAGTAATCCCAAACTCTTTCTTTGTCTCTCTCTCTACTACTAATATAATAATAAGACACATAGGATAGATGAAGCTTCCTAAATAGTGCTCGGTTTGGATGTATGGTTCTTGGAGAACCTTTACACTGTCTAGAACCTTTACATTATTAGGGGCAACTTTGTGTTCTTAACACATCCCCTTTACAAAAACTGATTTTGAAAAAAACATTCACTGAAAGGTACAAGAAACAAAATGTTCACTCTACCATTTTATGGCTTTATTTTAATGGAGTATATTTAAAAGGGCTTGCAACTGGTCTATGGGCACTGAGATACAGTTAGTACTAGAGAAACATGGAAAATTCTGCGGTACAGAGAAAACCAGAGCATGGTAATATAATGACCTAAACATAAAAAAACTACTATACTAAAAAAAATCTCATAAAAAAGTCTCAAAACAAAAAAAATAAGTGAGCCTTGCCTCCTGAATGATCTTCTGGAGTTCTCTGTTCTCGCGCTCAAGCTGTCGTGATTTCTCTTCGTCATTGTTGTTGGTAGATGATCCTGTCTTCAGTGTGTCCTGCTGCTCCGACTGCCACTCCCCACGTGTGATCAAACGCCGCATCTACCCAACAAGAGGGCCATATAGTTTATATAAAATCAATTTCTGAACAACAAAAAGGGATAAACTTACGCATCAACAAAGAGACACAAAGCAGGTGAAGAAAACATTTTAGCTGAAAGACAAGGCTACTATAATATGAACCAAAGCATACCGGTAAAAAAGTTTTATTGGCTACCTTAGGCACAAAGAGCACCACCAGGGTGATATAGACAGAGAAAACGATGGCCAGTGAAGCAAAAGCAAAAGAGGCGTCCTGCTGAGAAGACAGAATCATAGTCACTGGAGCGGTGATCATACACAGCACCTAGAAGGGGAGAGAGAGAGAGAGAGAGAGAGAGTAGAGAGAGAGAGAGAGAGAGAGAGAGAGAGAAAAAGAGAGAGAATAAGAGAGGGAGAATGGAAGCAAGAGAAGAGGGAGGTCACTTTGTAGAAACACTTCCAGAGGGCAGAGCTACAGACAGAGATTTGATGTGACAAAGTGGAGGACTCTTGTCTGGAGAGCATTAAAGCAAAATAGCTGCTGTTTACTGCTAACCTCTAAAAATGACCCTGCAGACAGACACAAGAGACTAGCGCAATGCCCATCAAAGAGACGACATTTCGGCCATCTATTTGCTGCCCTCACCGCCACTGAAAGTGCATATAGCTGCGTGCTGTTACGCCACAGGTGCACTGACATTGTTCACTGTACTAAACTAATTGCTTAAGAAGAGTTCCAGCAAAAGTCTTTATTGGACCCTAATTTCAGAAAGTCATCATAGGAAAACAATGTATTCTCTTTTGTGTATACTGAGGGTCCTCTACTCCGGTTCAGGAGTGCCAGAGTCCAGTACAGATTGGTGAATTCCCAGTACAAACACACTTGATTAACGTCATCTGTTATTTTTGCATGTCTAATTTCTAACCTCTCTTCATTCCTCTAAATCTGACTGGCTGCCTCATCTGGTACTGTGCAGTTATGGCTGAAACACTCCTTATAACTTCAACTTAAAGGCTAAACTGCTTGACCGAATAGACATATATACAGCAATGTGCAAAAGTTTAGCCACCTGAGAAGATTTAGAGTTTGTTTAACCAATTCCAAACCTCTTGTTGTGGCAGCCCAGTATTTATTGTAGTTATCACCCAACACCTGATTTGGCTAATCAGTGCTTCAAATCAGGAGTGCTGGTGATGGAATTTAATAAATCCACAGGATGGCTGGGGGCTTGAAGGGGAAATCAGAAACCAAACTTGTGGTCTTCTAACCAGCGCAGAAGATATCAATTATTCTTCTGAAGACAAGAAATTCTTGCTATTTTTTACTATATTAATGTTTATTTGAATTTATTCTACAAACCCAATTTCAAAAAAGTTGTGACAATAGGTAAAGTCCAAACAATACTTAATATTTTACCTTATCAACTTTATTGATTTTTGTAAACATACACTAATTATAAATTTGAACACATTCCAGTGAAGTTGGGACAGGGGAGATGTAAGTTGGAAAGTTTGTGGAATGATCATAACACCTGTTTTGGAGCCTTCCACAGGTAAACAGGTGAATAGATAACAGGTGATGGGTATAAAAGGAACATTCATGAAAGGCTCAGTCATCACTTTTTGTGGAAAACTGTGAGCAAATACACCAGGAATTTATGAATGTTTCTCAATGCACAATAGCAAGGAATTTGGGGATTTCACCATCTATCATCCATAACATTATTAAATGATACAGAGAATCAGGAGAAATCTCTGTGCGTAAAGGGTGAGTCCGAAAACCCATACTGAATTCCCCTGATCTTTGCTCCCTCAGATGCAGACACTGCATTTAAAACAGACATGCTTCTGTAACAAAGATAACCATATAAGCTTGGGAATACTTCGGAAAACTATTGACCGTCTATTCCTGCATCTACAAATGCAAGTTAAGGCTCTACTACTCTAACTATAACAATTGGTGTCCACAGTTCCTAAGCAATTTCTGATCGCTGTTAAAAAAGAAAGGTGATATAATACAGTGGTAAACATTGCCCTGTCCCAACTTTTTTGAAACATGTTGCAGGCATCAAATAATTTTAGTTAATTAGTTGGAAAATTAAATATCTTGCCATTTTACTGTTTTTAATTCCATGCAGATCAAAAAGGACTTGCAAAACATTGCTGTCTGTTTTTATTTTCATTTTTCCTATTTTCCCAGCTTTTTGGAATTGTGTTTTTAATATTATATGGTGTTTTCAGAAAAATAAACACACTTATTTCCCAGAGAAAAGTTTTTAAATTTAAGTTTGTTAGACCTTTGCTTATTCCTGTGTGTAAATGCAATATTTTTTGTGATATAACAAAAGCAATTAACACGGTTTTATACTGAACATACAGACTGGGGAGTGAGGAGCATGTTGACTCAGTGAGTTAATGCATAGGTGGAACAAAGCATTATAGGATGTAACTTAAAACAGCTGCAGGTGGCAGTATAGGCAGTAGCCACATTCACGTTCCAGTCAAGTGTTTTCTTGTTTTCTCATTAAGCCCATTTTAGAGGGGGGTTTGGGGAAATGGTAGCAATTATGCAAATCATCCTTCAAAGCACTTGCAGTTATTACTGGAATCAAACTGTTGGCAAGCATTCAAGCGTGAGACCGCAGCAAGCAGCGTCGGTAATCAAGGCTTTGTTCAAAAAATAATGTGTCTCCAAGAAAAGAGCCACAAAAATTTATATTATGATTCAGATTCCAAAGTGCGTTCCCATGTCACAAATGGTCACAATATTTAAAAAATCAAAGCAGAACCTCTTTCTCTGAAATGGAAGCTTTTTAGGAGGTAGAAAAAATATTATTAGCAATATTGTAGGGTAATGTAACAAGATTTTGTTCTAAGTGGACCTTTCTGTTGGTCTACTCGTTATGAATTGTTCACGCAATGTAAAGGCCAGCTACCTATTGAGTTATAAGGTTTTGATATTACAGCAACAAAGTACAAATTGGTGGTCAGCTTGGGTTGACAAAAGCTTAGTTGCAGCTTTTTCAGAGCTGTTTCAAATTCATTGCGACAGACCAATGGACAACGTGAGAACATACATAGATAGGAACATCTGCAGACAACACAGCACCATATAGGCTATAGTTAGAGGCTACAGACAGGAAATCATTAGCAGAGCTGCAAATAGCAGCAGCCAGCAGCCACACTTACAGCCACATTGTAGATGGCCATTCCTACGGCACGGTGGTCATTAATCTTCTCAGTGGAGATGGACTTGGTCTCGTAGGCCAGGAAGATTCCCAGCAGCAGGAGCAGTCCCTTGTAGCCATACACCACACCTAAAAGGAGAAAGACATTCCTCTCCTTATCTGCTTGCTTTAAAGAAACAGGAATGGAGTATAGCATTAATTACTCTGAGTGCCTCCAACCAGTACATCATTTCACATAGCAAAGATAATGTTTTATACCATCCAATAATCTTAAAAGCAAAGGTTCCTAAAAGGTTATTGGCCTCAATATATGGTTCTGGTGAAAAAAAATCTTTACATTATGTTAGGCTTTTTAAACCTTAATTAGTTCTTCACTGTTTAAGTATTTGGAGTCTCAATTCCCAGTGATGCCACAGTCATCTGTGGCAGGGAGTCCAAGAAAGCATAACAGGCCTTGTTCTCTCTGAGTGGGTAGGATGGCTCTCCTTCTCCCTCCCCATCACTCAAATGATGCATCTGTTAACTGACACTTGCAGTTAGTGTTTTCCTACAAGTGTGCTGAGCTGTCCAATGACGTTGTGTTAGTGGAAATTAAAAAGAAAAGATGTGGAGGTGCTTCACGTAGACAAAAAAGAATAACACTTGCAAATCAAATAAAAAGCTGCTGGTCTTGGACTGATCACCCCAAAGTCCAGACCTCTACATTTAATTTGGCTAGGATTTCTTGGATCATGAGAAGCAGAAAAATGCAACCAACTTCTCAGACTGACCTTCACAGGAGTAGAAAAATATTGCTGCAGAAAGCGAGTCTGCTGAGGCTTCTGTGTAATTTTCAGTTAAATACATGTTTTCCACATTTTTTCCTGAAATGAATAACTTGTGCTTAATGGCCATTTTGATAGAACATTAAATAAATAAGGGGAGTCTCTGTAGAATTGTTGAAGTATTGTATGAATTGATATTCACAATAGGGTAAAGTACATACACAGTTACAGCAAGTACAGCATTTTTTCACTTATAAAACAAAGAGTACTATAAGTGTGATTATTCTGGTTTATATCAGTGTGAAAATGTTTATGCTAACTTTCTTCCTACAGCATAAAAACTTATAAAAGTTTATGAGGCTCCTATAAGAGCCACAGCAATGCATGAAAACATGAATACTGTCACTAAACGTTTAGAGTGAGGTGTAGTTTCACATCATCTGGCAAATAAAATTCACAATATCTGTCCAAAAGCTATGTTTAGGCTTTTTTTGTTTGCTTTCCCCAGTATTGTTGTCGTCAGTAAACAAGGAGGTCTTTTCTGTACCATATGACAGCATTACTGATTTACAATTGTGAAGTCTTAGCTTGTCATCTCAATATGTATGAGGCCTGCATCCATACTACTGTTAAACTACAGTCCATGAAGCAAGATTTATTGACCTTCTCTGAAAATATGACATTGTAAGAAACAGACTAAGAAGACTTGGCTGGACAAACACTGTATGTATATTAATAATATATGTAGACATGTATCTTATTTTCATCATTTACTTTGCAAACAAAGGGCAACAAACCTGAAATATATATTAATATTTAATTTAAAAGCGTCCAGCGCTGCGTCTTCAGCAGTGTAACATCTTTTACAGTATGAATGAGTCCTGCTATGACTGAAAGACATGTGCACTGACCCACATGATTACATTTCACACTGTACCGCCTGGAGAGGAAGTGAGACCAGGAGGCAAAAAAGTGAAAAGAGAACAGTGAGAGAGAAAAAACAGAAAAAGAGAAAGAAAAAGGAACTGGAATGAGAAAGACAGTAAAAAGAAAAGAGAAAGAAAGAGATTGACATAGAAAAAAGAGACAGTGTACCGAGCCATGTGTTCATCTTCTCGGAGCTGCAGTGCTCAAGCAGCGGTTGAATCAACACATCCAGATCTGCTTTAGGAGCCTCTTTAGTGAACTTCTGCTCGGAGAGAGAGGCAGCGGCGTGCAGCAAGAGAGGAATGCAGAGAGATAGAGAGACACAAGAGAGAGAGGAGGAAAGAGGAAATGAGGGTAATAAGGGAGGGAGAGAGAATTTAGTTTCAATTAAAAACCTATATAGGCTCAATCTCACATCTTCACAGCATACAAATTGTACAAAATGAGAAATGCACAAAACACCCTGTAGCTGAATAGCAGAAGTATCAGAATGCATAAATACAGTTCTGCAACTGATAAACGTCTTATTGCAGTGCTGTACAAAAGTCAGAGACCACCCTTCATTATTTAAATTTCCAGTCAAAATGGCCATTCTTTAGTACAAGTTCTGAATATTTGTGACAACATTAGATGTAAGATAATCCACTTCCATAAAAAAAAGGTGAAAGTCAAAGAGAAAATCTCACACCTAACAGCTTGGTAGACCACCAACAGTCACCATCAGATTAACAGCACTTAAAGCTTTCATTTTTGAGAGAGAGGAAAAAATTAAACTCCACTCATTTCAGATCTGAAAAAATTCACAGGTGTTTCTGTCCATCCCTCCACTGTGAGAAGACAACTCAACACTATGAGTCTGAAAAGATGTGTAGCTGTCAAGAAATTTTTACTAAGAAAAGGAAGTAGACAAAAAAGAAGAAAATCTGCAAATCAAACAGAGATCCTGGTGTTTTCAAAACAAAGGACTGACCAGAGTCCAGACCTCAACATCACTGAATGAGATTACTCAGGAGATCATGAGAAGAAGACAAGGCAACCAACCAACTTCTAAGACTGAACTTTGGATATGTGGAAAAGTGCTCCTGCAGATTTCTCTGAAGAAGGGTGCAGTCACTACACTCTGAAAATATTATATTTAAATGTTGCAGCTAATTTTCTGTTAAATACACATATTTCTGCTATGTTTTTCTGCGATGGACTGGCGACCTGTCCAGGGTGTATCCTGCCTTCCGCCCAATGACAGCTGGGATAGGCTCCAGCACCCCACCGCGACCCAGAAGGATAAGCGGTTTAGATGATGTATGTATGTATGTATGTATGTATGTATGTATCTGCTATGTTTTTCCTGATGCTGAAAAAGGAACAACCTTTTAATTAAATTATTGGCCATCTTGCTTGGAAATTAAATAAATGAATGAACAGTACTCTTATTTCATCACAGAACATTACTGTGCACAAATTTCACAGCTTGGTAGTAAAACTGATGTACCTCGACAGTAATGTGCAAAGGGTCAACAATCTGCCAGATCATCAGAGACAGAACATCAATAGCCAGTAAAACGCCGACAGTTGCATAGAGTTTCCATGGCTCCAAGTGCTGTGAAAACAAGACTGATTAGTAATTTGTTTTCAATGCCTTTAATGGTTTTATAAACCTTGTACAAGTTATAAATTGATAACTGAAAACAAGCAGCAGTGTGACTTTACTGTTGCACGGTATGAAAAAGCCATCTCTAAGAATTCTTTATGATAACTGACAAGTGATATAATTTCTTGATATAAACAGTTTTGTAAAGTGGATAAATACAGTGTTTCGCTAGCATAAAGCATTTTAGAGGCAAATTGTAATTATTTCCCATTTATTGGCACAATGAAATATGCTATGACCAAATATTGACACACCCTGTTGCAAAACATCAAATATTACAAAATGAGGGGTTATTTCCATTTCATTTTTCCCCATTAAGGCAGCCCTGCTAGCTTCCTCCAGGCCATCGGACTGGTTAAATAGGATAGTACTGAGCTGTGTTGCACATACTGCTCTCTCTCCGTCTACTTGAAGTGCATGAAATGACTTGAGAGCCCCATTTTTGCCACATTCAGTCTGTCTATCTGACTTTCTTCAAGCACTTCTCACAGCACTTTGTCAAATTGCCCCAGCATGGACATCAAGAGAGTTGAAAGTCAGCCCGATTCGTTGTGCACAGGCTCAAATAATAAAGCCCCCGAAGGTCGGATTTCCGCAAAGAACTTTAATACTCATCCATATTCATAAATATTCCATAGTTGGTGTAATCTGGTATTCGTCTGATGAAGTCTTAGGGTCTCCCCTATGCATGGAGCCATATCTCCCTTTCTCTAGGACATGAGATCAGAGAAGACACACATGTTCACTCATCCAGCTGCCAATATCGTGAGCAGAGGAACTGGTCATGAGGGTATGCATGTGTATGTCTGGAGGAAGGTGTTGAAGGAATGTGTGAAACAGAGAGCAAGTGAGTAACTTCACCTCGGAAAAAAGCCTGCAGTGATATGAGAGATTACACTGTCATTCATGGGTGGAGGAAGAGATAGAGATGAGGAGGGGGAGGGAGAGAAAAAAAGAGAGAGAGAAGGGGAAAAAAAGAGATGGGTGAGTAAGAGAGAAGGATGAGTGGGTAAACAGTGAGAGTATGATGACGGAGAAACAGTAAAAGACAGAGAGGAAGGGAAAGAGAGAGATGAATGGAAAGACAGAAAGGGAGAAAGAAAGATGGAGACAGAGAAATGGAGAGAAAGAGAAAGAGAGAAAGAAATAGAAAGATAGAGGGAGAAACAGAAAAAGAGAAGGACAGAGAAAGAGGCACATGAGAGAGAGGAATGAGGGGGAAAATGAGAGAAAGAGAAAGAAATAGAAAAAGAAGACTGGAGAAAGAGAAATGGAAAGAAAGAGAAAGAAGAGAAGGATAAATGGAGGGAGAAAGGATGAGAGAAAGAGAGAGGGAGGAACAGAAAGAGAGTAGTATAGAAAAAGAGAAGGATGGGGGAATGAGAGAAAGAAAAAGAGAGAAAGATAGAGGGAAAAATAGAAAGAAAGAAGGATGAGGGAAAATGATGGAGGGCGAAACGGGGGGGAGAATGGAGAGAGATAGAAGAAGACAGAGGGGGAAAGAAAATGGCAGAATGAAGACTTGACAGAGTGAAAGACAGAGAGAGAAAGAGGGAAGAATGGAGAAGGAGAGAGAATGAGAAAAATGTAAGGAGGAAGATGAGAGAGACAGATGGAGGAAGAAAGAAAAACAGATGAAAGGATGGACAGAGGGGGCAGAGAAGGATGGAGGGAGGAAGAGACAGTAGGAGAAACAAAGACAGAGAAAGGGATGGAAAGAGAAAGAGGAAGAGATGAAAGAGAATGTCAGTGAAGGAGATAGAGAGAAGGACGCAAGGACAGAGAAACAGAGAGAAAGTCAGAGAAGAAGAGAGAGAGAAGGACAGAGAGACAGAGAGAAAACGATAGAGAGAAAGATAAAGGATGAAAGAGAAAGTCAGAGAAGAAGAGAGAGGGAAGGACGGAAGGACAGAGAAACAGAGAGAGAAATGATAGAGCGAAAGATAAAAGATGAAAGTTAATGTCAGTGAAACAGAGAGAAAGTCAGAGAAGAAGAGAGAGAGAGAGAGAAGGACAGAGAGACACAAAGAGAAAACGATAGAGAGAAAGATACAGGATGAAAGAGAATGTCAGTGAAACAGAGAGAAAGTCAGAGAAGAAGAGAGAGAGAGAAGAACAGAAAGACAGAGAGACAGAGAGAAAACGATAGAGAGAAAGATAAAGAATGAAAGAGAAAGTCAGAGAAGAAGGAGAGAGAGAGAGAGAGAGAGAGAAGGACAGAAGGACAGAGAGACAGAGAGGGAAAATGATAGAAAGATAGAGGATGAAAGAGAAAGTTAGAGAAGGACAGAGAGAGACAGAGAGAGAGAGAGAGAAAGGAGAGAGAGAGAAAGCTGGAGATACAGAGAGAGAGAGTATGAGAGAAAAATGGAAAGGGAGAAAGTCTGTGTAGACCTCTTTCACGCTGAAGTTGGGCTTAATGAACACAGTAAGCACTGTGTGATTCTTTAATACCCTGAATAAAAGTAGTGGACTCAGCAGAACTGGACACGGCGGTCTTAACAAATCATGAGTCATTCTCACTTTCTCAAGTTTTCAACAAATGAGGGAAATTCCACATATATTACTGCCCTTTACTCTATTTCTATGGCAATAACAAATGCTGTCACATTTATTTTAGATGTGTAAAGAACACGATCTAACAAAGCCAAAAATTTGTGGATTCTTGATTAGATTTTTCCTCACAAACCACCATTTTGAGCAATGAAACATATGCATAAGTCTATATGTCACACTTCACATTTAAATTATTACTCTGTTTAAACTAATCAGTGAGCCTATAGTGATCTGAATTCTCTTCTGAATGTGCACACATGTTCGATCAGAAATTATCAGTGCCTCCACCAATAAAGGCAGCACGGTGCTTCTTTTATACAGTGATAGAAAACAGGATAGCACAGCCGATCCTTTTCACCATGACCAGCGTGGACAGGTACACATCTTAACTACTCAGTGGACTGATTTTAATTAGTTAATGGGGACAAAGGCAAAGTCAATACATCGAAGGTGAAGAATTAGATAAGATACCTAACATAGGAGTTAATGAGGCTTTGCATTCTTCTCAATTAATCCACATTTTACTCTATGCATGACCTAGAATTGCACTCTTATCTGCCAAATACCATGCCATACCTTCCTCTTCTCTTTTTTCTCATCCTTCTTGGTGAAGACAGTGTGAACCCACCAGATCTTAGTGAACATGCTGCCGTAGGCCAAGCTGAAACCCAGCCCTAGCAGCCACAGGCGAAACTAAAGAGAGAGAGAGAGAGAGAGAGAGAGAGAGAGAGAGAGAGAGCGAGGGAGTGAGCAGTACACAAAGTGCAGAGAGATTGCATTTCCCAGATATAACCACCATCAGCCACAACAGTGCATTAGGGACACAGCAAAAGCAGACAGAGAGAGAGAGAGAGGGTGACAGACAGACAGAGAGTGAGGAGAGAAAGTCAGAGAAAGTGCACTAAATTCATTCCATTACCTGACACACCACAGGAAACTGTGATCTGTGCACATGATGGCCGTCAATGCCCAGTGGAAAGACCGCAGCCAGAGCAAGCACACAGCCCACGGCTGTAATGTTATTCAAGTACGGCTGAGAGTTCTGGATGTACCTGTGAGCAGAGAGACTGAACTGTAATGCCTTCTAAAAGGATGAGTCACTAATGCTTAGGTTAGTTCATATAATAGTGGACACACAGCTGAATGTGAAAGTTTTAATACATGGAGGCCAAAATACTGCACTGTACTTCTACTCTATTCTACACTACATTAAATAAGGCTGGGTAGAGTTCAAAATATTTCAGTGTAGATCCCAATACTGATGCCTTTACTTTGTTACAGATTGCTGAAAGATATTAGTTTTACATCAGAAACATAACATACTTTTTTATTCTTAATTTTTAATTTTTCTTTTTTTAGCACCATTCTGCAGGTTCCTTCACAGCTAATTAGATATTTTTAATTAACATAATAAAATAAAAACAATTCCATATAACTCTGCTATCAGATAAACTACAACACTGTTGGCTCTCTGAGTGTGAAATATTTTTACCCTGTGTTGAGCTTCTAGTGAGAAATGAGGGGCAAAGATGGAAGAGTGAGAACCCCCTGCTGAAAACACCCCACAAAAATGGCGGTGCTGAGATCAAATGAACAGCACAACTGCAGCATGCTTGATATAAAAATCATGTACAATTGGTATTTGAACACTTATTAATGTTGGCTTGCACCAAAGTGGACAGCACCAAATTTTCAGATGTTCTGTAGGACTGAAGTTATTCATTTGGTACCATAAAAGTCCTAGTATCAACCGTACTACATTATAGGATAATGCTCCACAGTGTCCTAATGCAGGGTAATGTATCATTATATAGAAAACAATGTAAGCATGACAGCATTGAGTTTGGGGGTGGGGGTGGGGGGTGGCATGAATACAAAATGAGGTAGTTTTGCCTTTGAACACCATACATTGTAGGCTTTTGCACAGAGAGTTTAACAAGAGGTCATGTGCTGGGTAAACAGGTAATAGACATGATGAATCCTGTGAAATCACATTCTCTGGCAACTTATTTTCTCCTTATAAGAATAACTTGCCTGCAGCACTGCAGATTAGCTCAGTCATAGTGCACACACTGCAGAAAGTGAAGAGTTTGAAGAGGAGATGTTGAATTAGTTTCTGGCCCACAGAGCCAGTAGCTTGCCCCCAGAATATTAACTGAGTTGCATCACTTGAGATTTAATGAAATTCTGGGTTCTTTATCCTGTTTATACCAATATATGGGTAAAAATATTATTCATCAATAAATAGGTAAACTATTGTTATCAATACTGGAATTACAGCCAATAATTAAAATTGATAATTTAGCACCTTATATTTTTATATATGTCATATACTTTTTTGAACATCCTCAGTCAAATTATATGTTTTGTTGATTTTCTAAGTGAAAACCAGTTGACACATCCTTTACAGGGAACAAACTTAAGCATGGTATTTTTCTGCAAATTTTAATGCACAATATTGTATTATTTGATATTGGAAAAATAAATAAATTATATTATATGTTATATATTATATGTTATAACTTTTAACCAGGATAAATTTGGATACATAACGTGAAGAAGTGTTCTGCAGAGGATGTGTATTTCTTTTCACTTGGAAAATTAACAAAATGAAATTTGACAATGTCACCCAAACATTTGCACACGACTGCAGCCTGTACTTGCACTGACATACTTGCACTCAATAGTGAGCATTTCTATAACTTCAACTCACAAAAATGGAGCATAGTGGGTAACACCACTGCCCCAAACACTGAATATTCATGTTTTGATTATCTGTTTGGGCAGAAACGCTACTGTATGAGTCCATAGGATAGACTCTTATTGGTACATTACATTAGGGATGTCACAGTTACTCAGTTAAAACTGATTAATTGATAAAAAAGTACACTTTTGATGAGTCAGTCTAGAGATTAGTTTACATTTTGACTGATAAACAGGGTATCCACAAGTCATAATAAAGCTAAAGCTAAAGAATCTCCAAAAGAGGCAACTATTTTTATTTACAATGCTCTTGTGGACACTTCTAAAAGTGAGGAAAACCCACAGCAGCAGGATCTCACAAATGCACATAAAGCAGTGGTAGTCAGGCTACTTAGAATGTGAGGAGTTCTGCAGTAAAGACTGCTTTATAATTATATTCACATATGTGAGAATTTCATGGGAGTACTAGAACAAAGTAGCATTAATAATGTCTCAAAATGGCATTAAAATATCTTAAAACACATTACATTGAATTTGCTGATACCTGCAAACTTTAAACTGTCCTGCTAGTCTTTCTTTCAATAATTTCAATAATTGCGTTGTAACGGTTCTTATGTTCACTGCATCTCATTTATCTCTTACAGTGCAAATGTGCTTTAATATGCAGACTGGTATCGGGCACAACAAGGTGTTAATTGCTGGTTATTTACCCAAAAATTCATCCCTAACATAGCATCCCTAACTCTGCGCCTAACTCCTCCATGCATATCAGCACTGTACAGTCCCAATGTTTCAGAGCACTGACCGAACGTTACTGTTGTAGATGTTGAAGGTGAGACACACTATGCCTAGAAGAATTCCCAGGCCAGCAAAGACAGACACAGAAACAAAGAGTTTCTGGGAAAGAAAGCGAAACTCCTCAATGACCACCGTCTGATCTGCCGGAGGGCCAGCGCCTGCAGGGAGGAGAGAAATAGGTCAGCAGAAAAAAAAATCAGAGGACCTGGAGGCAAACCAGAGAAGAACAAACATAAACACCATAACAGCAGAAAGGGTGAGAGCAAAAAGACCACGGAAACACATTTAAGACCTTCAAAAGTGAAAAACGGTGGAAGGGCTTGAGAACTTTTCAGAGGAACAGAGAGATCAGAGCTTAGCGCTCAGAATCAATGAGGTCCAGTCGGTACACATGCAATAAGTAGAGGCTTGTCACTGAGGGAGTAAAGCCACTTGGCACCAACGCAGTCATCTGGAGAACTGGCAGGAGGAACACAGCATAAAGACTCTTAAATAAGGCATTTCATTCGCACTTTCGGTCTGTGGAATTTAAAGTAGCCGTGCAGCTCAAGAAAATGAATCATTCAAAACTACATCATAAGTCGCTACATAAAGAAGCTAACAAGATGAAGAAAAGCGTATGTTGATGACTAAATACAGTACATCCTTTAGAATCTCACCAAACACCCAGGACCTTACACTGTTTACACCTGCTGAATGAGCTGTTAGCTGTTTTGCGAATAAGCACTGCATATAACTGGCTGTCCAGCGGCTCTAAAGTTAGCATGATAAGCAGGGCACCTGGCAGACCTCCATCGATAAACAAGGGCTGTAATAGCATCCCAGTTGGCAGGAGGCATTCACTCTGTCAAACGTCTTGTTTCCAGTCTGCTGAGAAGGGAAGAGGTGGTGTGACTGCAAGAGTCAAGCTGGCCATTATCGGGGACAGGACATGGAGCGTGAGGGACATGTGTCCTTGTTAGAGCCGAGGCCCCGGGCACCATTCAGTGTCATGGCACCCGTGTTTGTTTTGATACTCTCTTCATAATGTCAAGGCACAGATGGGTTCAGAGTGACATCCTGACACTTGCCTGTGCCAAGCAGCCCCATTGCTAAGCGAACACGTCCGCGGTGTTTGGGAAGACGTGGGTGGGTGTGAGCTCGAGAGCCCTGTCACTTGACGCATTTACACACTAAACCTTCCTTCGTCCTTGATCTAAGAATCAGGATGGGGTGTTGCCATGGAGACTCTGCTTCACAACCGTTGCCAAAGCAATTTGGAAAGGAAAAGTCGTGCTCAAATGGTTGTCAGGGGTTACCGCGAGGCGGCCAAGAGTGCGAGAGAAGGCAATACGTTGCACACATGCACAGAGATTGCAAATGAGTTCAACGCAAAGTTCAGCTAATACGTTCTGATTTGGGGTCAGCTTTAACATTTGACACTCTAATGCTGCTTCAGAAGTTAGCTTCTTGCAAGACTAGCTGGAAAACAGCGGTGTGCTAATTTAAACCCAAAAGCCTCCACAGAGCAAGAGCCCTTTGGGAGTTTCTGGTTTATTTGGATTGTGCCTCTGTTTCTGGTCTTTTAAGCAAGGGCAAAAATGGCAAGCAATGTCACGGACTCCATGGTCTGATGTCCGTGATTTTGTGGGCGTGAAAAGCGAGCTGTATGTAAATGGGTCACAAACTCACAACAGAGTTTACTGAAATTAGCAGCTACTGGCAGGCAAATAGATATGAATTAGCTGCTGTAGAAAAAACTAGGTTTCACAAACTGGCATGAAGCAGGAAGCTGGATAAAGTTAGAGCTGCTATATAGAACAGCAATATCATTAAATCTTCGGAACTCAAGACCTTTCAAGCCATCGTGCTCAAAGATGGGAAATCTAATTCTAATAAAATTATTCTAATATCTAATAGAAAATTCTGACTATGATATGCAATAGTAATAACACAGTTGCTGCATTTAGCTATATGAATATGATATCTTATTTCTCTCTCTCACTCTCTCTACATATATATAGAAAAATCACAGGAAAATAAGTAAAAAAAAAAAAGCCAGAAAACTAGAGTTCAATTTTTTTAAAAGATATAAAGAAAATGGGGCTCGACTGTGCAAGACCTGGAAGACTACCAAAACTGTCCCCATCAGATAAATAGCTCTTAAAGCTTTCATGTTTGAGAGAGAGGAGATTTAGGTGTGTCTGTCCATGCTTCCACTGTGAGAAGATAAACTCAGTGCTATGTATCTGAAAGAATGTGTAGCTGTCAAGAAGCCTGGGAAAAGGAAATAGACAAAACTGAAATTCTGCCCTAGAACACCAATACTGGACAGCTGACAAGGTTTTATGGTGACTACATTTGCAGTTGGGATAACTTGGACTGTGAGAAGCAGAAAATCTAACCAACTTTTAAGACTGAACTGCAGGTGTTTACAAAAACACGGGGAAATATCCCTGTAGGTTTCTTTGAAAAACTGAAAGCAGGTCTCCAAAAATGGATGGAAGCTGTAATAAGGACAAAGGGTGGAGACACTAAATTCTGAAAAAAACTGACACTACATTTAGGTGTTGAGGCTTTTGTGTAATTTTCTGTTAAATACATGTTTTTCTGACACTGAAAAATGAATGATGTTTACTTAATGGTCATTTTGACTACAAATTACATAAATGAAAGGGTGATCTCTTACTTATGCACAGTAATGTACACAGGGAAAATATTTCAGCAACACAAAAAATTATTTTTATATCACTTAAACGGTACTTCATCTAATCATATAAACTCCATGTGAAAACCCAAGAGACTAACATACTTCAAGTAACTTATAGTAACAATCATATTTGAAATACTCCTTTTGATTGGCAGTCCTGATAAGCCTTAATGTTGACCTTGTTGTCCGCTCCCAAAACAATCCGAAGCAAATTTTCAGGTCAAATCTCCCCTCTGATGTTGGGCAGCATCAGTTCACTAATGTCATGCAGGCAGAGCTATTCTCTCAATGGGATCAGAGCATGGAGGATTGATTAGAGCTTCTATTAAGTCTGACTCATAGGGGGCGGCTGGGCAGGTAAATAGCATCCTAAATATACAGAGGGTGAGTCAACTCAGCAATGCACAGTGGCGTTTAAAATCGACTTTCAACAGTCAAGCTCATTTGAGATGTAATTGGAAGGTTACCAACTCTTAATCTTTATTTAATGTTCAGTAATTTGACTTTTCACTGTGATAATATTTTGCTGACAATCCAGTCATGGTACTTAAACTACTAACTAGAAAGCTGTGCTGGAATTACGAAAGTGGTCTTGCATATAAACCCTGTGCGCTAGCTTATCACATAGCGTCAGTGTCATAAGAAAACCTCATACAGCAGAAATAGTACTCAAATAAGATCTGTTAACCCCTTAACATTCCAGGCTTATTACATATTAAGGCTTATTATTCATTAACTACAGGGACTTCAGTGCAAACTAAAGGAGCTTTTCTTAGGTTACAAGTGTGTAATAAAACTTTGGGCCTGACAGCAGGCCCATGGCTTGGTAAGGGTACAATGCAAAGAAATTTTGGACCATTTCTGTTGATCAATTCATCATGAAATGCTCATATGATGTGAAGCACATCTGGCATTTTCAAATGGTGTAAAAAAAATGACAGTGACAATATGCTCATACACAGTTGGATTAATGATTAACACAAAATTTAATACAAATTATATATAATAAATTGTATTAAATTTCAGTGAAAAAAACAATAAAAGAAATTCTAGATACAGTTACATTGCTTGCAAGATGGACATGTCCTTTGGAAACTACAAAGCAGAATATTGATCCTAGTTTGGTGATGCAGAGGCTTGGTGGTACTGTGACCCTGAAATTGAGAGTGTGCTCCACCGACTATGTTGTCAATTCAGTGTTCAATTCATCTACTGAAGACACATCTATAGGACAATGCAGCCTTCACCTCCTGCATTTCAGTTTTCCCCAGTGTTACAGCCACAGCTGGCTCAAAGGGCAGTTATGTGACATATTAAACACTGGAGCAGCGCTTTGTCAGGCCAACAAAAATCAATAGCAGTAATCCTCAATCAGGGCAAAACACAGGGGGAGTGAGAGGAGGAATGAATGGAATGGACAAAGCCAGGGACAGATGTCTAGACGGAGGAGAAAAGAATCAATCTGGCTCACCTATCCACTTGTCATTTCCGTACCAGGAAAGATTGCCTTTTGTGCTGTCATAGTATCCAATCTTCTTGTAACTGCCCCCTGCGAAATGAAACAGGATGACTTAAAAGCAGAAGTAACAGTACTCAAAGAGCATAAAAGAGAATAAAAAATTAACTACTGTAGCCTATACAATACATGTAAAGCACTAAAATGTGCTACTTTATGATTCTCAGTCCATGGTATTATGGTCCAAAACGTGTGGCTAAGGATGGCATTAGACACAGCTGCTTTTTTAAAAAAAAGCCAAATGCATGAACTCTGCATTCACAAAAGGTCAGAACAGTCATTTACAACAACAGTCCCCAACAAGCACAGATTCAATTAGAAATGCATTTAAAAACAGTTGGTGAGCCAAAGTTATGGCAGTGAAGCAAAGAAACAACATTCCATTAAAATCTTAATTAAAGCTCTGCTTCCTAAATGCTAGCTAATAAAGCATGCTGTTAGAGATAATAAGTTTGACAATTTAGTGAAAAAGTCTTCCCTCACATTTATTTCAGAGATTGGTTTATCAGAAGAAGGTTGTTAGGGAGTGTTTTGGTGGAAAGAATATGATTTAATACCTTGCAGCTGCTCTATGAGTGTCCAAGCCATCCTGGAACCCTGGGCATCAAAGACTACGTGACCCTGAAAAGTGCAGAAATATATACATTTACTGAATATAATAATGTTTAAACGTTATAATGTTTAAACATTATGTTTAATGTTTAAATGTTTTAATGTTTAAACTAATTATGTTTAAACTAATAATGTTAAAACTACACATATACAAACCCACCAATTAATAAAATAATCCTATGAACTGAATTATCTTTAGAACGTTAATTATGGTAAATGTATATGTTACTGAATAATAAGCCTTAAGATTGAAAACACTAACAAAAAAAAAACAAAAGGGTTTCGGCACTAAGTGCTTGGACCCCTAATGTGGTGGTATGCCATTATTTCAGAGTTACTTTTATAAACTACACTCTTAAAAAAGATGGTTCTTTTTCAGAAAGGTTCTACATCATGCAAAGGGTTCTTTGAGTGTTCATGGTTCTATATAGAACCATTTTCTTTACTAAATAACCCTTGAAAAACCACCTTTTTAAGAATGCATGACTGAAATACGTTTCTGACAAAAGCTGTTGGAAAAGATTTAGTAAGCTTATCTCTTTTTCCTTTTAACTATTATTGATTGCACTAACTTCCACCTTTCACTCACTGATACTCCTTCAAATGAGCTGGTATTAAGGGCTCGATATATCTCTGCGGTGATGTCCTTGTTGTTGTAGTTGAAGTCCTCTAGTCTTCTGCCTTTAGCCTGTAGAGGTGCGACAGTCTTGTTAAGGGCCAAAGCAAGAGCCCACACAGCGTCGTACGCCAGAGGAGCTTCCTGGAAACCCCCTGTCTCCTCAGGGTTTTTCCCCCCAAGACGGGACATGAGCTGGGCCAGGAACTCCTGGGAAGTCTGGATGAATAGGAGAGAGATTAATTTAGGAAATGAGGTAGTTCTTCATTCTTCAATGACCAGTAATCAGACTGTCATTACAGCTGGAGCAAGCTGCGGAAACAGCCTGTTTTGAATTAACAGTTATTGTGATGTTACAAAAACAATGTGTTTACAAATATTTGTCTATTCAGCCTACATTCACCCCACTAATTCACTGTCTCAGGCTGTACTGCTTTTTAAGAGAGCCACCATACAGTGCCGCCAATCAAAACCGAGCTCATTTATATATATCAGTCCAGCTTGAAAAATCGACATATAAAAATGAATTAGGATCATTTTGGTACATAAAACCACATAAATGGAAAAAATTATAGGCTATGGACAATTTGGATGTGGACATACTAAAAAGCTTTAACAAAAACACTAAAATTTACAGTTTAAACAATAATTACTATGTAAACAATGTAGCTGTTGCATGTCCCTGCATATTAAACACCATGATATGAAAACTGCAGTGAACCACTTGATGATAGTAATGTTTATTTTCATAAACTTACTTCCTTAAACTTTTTCTGACTTCAAACCTGGCTGCATGGAGGACCTCCTCATCTTATGTATAGCACCAATATTGTTAGTGTTAAAAATAGGGATGCATAGATTTAGCTGTTTAGATTTAGCTGATATTCTGAAATAATATTTTGTTTTTATTCATATGGCACTTTGCACTTTAGTTACAAAATCTGAATGTGCTTGATACAGTAATATAATAAAACACTGGAATGAGAAAACACTACTGACTAAAAACAACAGCACAATTAGAAAAAGGAGAAAATGAGCAATTTTCTAGGCATATGCTAGCCTACACAAATACGTTTTGTTTTGGATTTTTTCATTTAATTTAAAAACACCTATCAGAGTTTGTATTCCTCATATTCTCTGGATTGCTATTCCAGAGTTTAGGAGCCTTATATGAAAATCATATTCTACCAACTAAGCTATAAGTAATCTTAGGGGGGGTATAGTAAGTCTGCCTCAGATGAGTGAACTGGTGCAAAATTTTACAGCTACTGTACATTGAATGAGACTGGAGTAATATTCTCATCCCTTCTTTTCCATGTTCTCTGTACTCCAGTAGAGCAGGATGTTTAGGAGACGCAGGGCTCCAGTGCTACAATACCTGCATTTTAATTTAACTGCATTTGTAACACTACAAAAATAAATGTTATATTTAACATAACATAAATGTGATATATTAGACGACACTAAGGTTTCACCTACCAGGTTGGAGGCTCCACGAACGGTCTCAGGGTTCAGCATCACGATCTCTGTAGTAACGTGTCCCTCCACAGCCTCCGTCATCTGCTCCACAGTGCAATTAATGGCTGGGTCTTTGATTTTGAACCAGTTGTCTGCGTACCAACCGATGAGGAACCACACATACTTCTTCCCAAAGAGTTTTTCCTTGTAGACCTACCAGAGAGGAAGTGAATAAAAACAGATTATGGGCAGTGCTGGATTAAATTCAGGCACCAGGCATGGCATTGCCATCTTTTGCTGACTATTTTGCTACTCTATTAGGCTACACTGGAATGAAATCATTGGGTCCAAAAAAATACGATTACCCAAACTATTACACTAATACACAAATATTCAGCAAATTCTGCATCAGCAAAATCTAAACATGCATGCTAGCATACTGGAATATCTGCTTAATGTTTATCTGGAGGCTGAACTGAAAATAACTGACTAGTAATATTCAACTTGGCACAAGCCCCCTGCAAAGTCAAGCTGTGTTGATCTAAACTGCACAGATTGTCATGCTTTTAATGCAACTTGAGTTTGACAGAAGTGACAAGCAAACGATTCAGCACTTGCCTCACAAAAGACTTTTCGTGCTTCAGTCTCATAGAAAAGGCCTACAATGATCCTCGCGTCTTGGCGCTGGAGAATAAAACAAAAGAAGGGAATGTTTTAAGTAAGTGGGCCAGAACGCATGGACAAAACAAGCAGTGAAGCCTCATCGCTGTCTTATCCTTCAACAAGTCTGACTGTATAAACATTGTGTCACTGCTAAATATTCAGTGCCACTAAATAATGTTTGCTGATTATAAATTTCCATTGCCTCAAAAGTGTTTTATCCTCCTTTCATATCTGCACTCATTTTTGATAGCAGTCCTTAAAGGACTTTCAACACTTCCATGCGATGTTTTTCAATGTTTAATGCGCAGGGCTATAGAAGATGCGAGCATGCTTGGACCTTGCTAGGAGGGAGCGTAAAATCTCATGAGGTTGTTATGTAAAATAAGGTTGCAATAAAAATGATGTCTATTCATCATCTACTGTCAGTTTAGCCCCCGGTCACAGATGTGACATGTGAGCTGTCACTTGATCTGACGGCGGGGAACGGATCCTAAGAGTGTTGATTTATTTCACATAACGTTTTCATGTGCGCCGCCGTCTGCAGCCCAGCTAACTGCGCGGCGCAGGCTGAGGAAGCGCAGCGGCTGGTGAATTTTTCATCAAAGCACCTTCAGGTTCTTGACAGCCACGGCGGGATCAGTGAGGAAACTCTGTCTCACGCTTATCTCTATACCAGCCTCCTTCACCCTCTGCTCCAAATCATCCAGCGTCTGCGAGAGGAGAGAAAGCAGAGGGAGGAATGAAGAGAGAGAGATAGGAAGAAACAAAGGGGGGAGACAGAGAGAGACATGAGTGAGACACACGAGTACGAGTTTTAGAGATATAAAGAGAAAAAAGAGCAAAAAAGAACAGCTACGAAGAGGGAGACAGGTGGGAAGAAAAGCAAAAAGATGGAAGCTTCAATGGAAGAGGCAAAGGAAAAAAGCAGACTGAGGCAAAAAGGGAAAGAGATCCAAGACAGACGAAAAGAGCAAAGAGTAAAGAAAGAAGAAAAACTAGTGCAGGAGAAGGAAGGGGAAGGAGACGGTAAAAGATAAAATGATGAAAAAGAAAATTAGAAAGGGATGGGAAGAGGAGAAAGGGAAATCATTAGCAAGCAGAATCAGACGGGTGAAATATCGAACCAGCGCTTGAGAGATTTATGACTCGGTCAATATTCTTCACAACCAATATTCTGACAAATGACTTCAAAGATCCTCCATGAGAAGCAAGGCCTTTCTCTCACTCTTTGAATCAGAAACTACACAGCACAGTCCCCAGAGCTAGCTGGGCATGTTTATCCAGCAGAGAAACCTAAACAGAAGAACTGAGAGACGAAATGTTCCAGAAAAAAGAAAAAACACAGAAAAAATGAAAAGGTTCACAGGTGGACCAAAAGTAAGAGAGATGAAAAGAGTAAAGAGTCAGAGCCAAACAAGCCTTGTGATTTGCTAAGTTGAGCTGGTGAAGCTCAGGTCAAGGTTTCATGATGCAAACTAGATAAAAAAAACTTGCAAACAAACATCAGGCTGGTTTGCCTACAGCAAAGATGACAAAAAAGACAGATATGGGGTGTGTAGGCACATAAATACAGTACTGTAAAATAGTCAGACACCATCCTTCATTTATTTAATTTTTAGTCATTGCTAGTCAAAGTTATTTGTTTTTCAGCTTCAGGAAAAAAAGGAAAATAGACAATTAACAGAAAATTACAGAGAAGCCTCAACAACTAAATATAATTTAAATTCTTTAGTACTTAGTTTCTCCAACCTTTGACTTTATTACAGCTTCCATGTATTTGACAGTCTTTTTTCCATTTTTTCAGTGAAATCTACAGGGATATTTTTCCACACCTCCACAGCTTAGTCATAGAGGTCGGACACTGCACTGAAACAACAGCCATTCCACTTTTTGGCCCTGAAAACTCCACAGTTGCTTTAGCAGCATGTTTCAGTATCATCAGTAAAGACACCATAAAGACGCATCAACAGTAAAGATAGCTCTATTCATACATGCCTATGGCACACATGAGGTGATTTGCTTTAGATCTTGTTCCACTCTTTTCATTTTTTCTTTGCATTTTCTCATTCTGTCACTTTGGTAGGAGATAATCTGAATCCCGTGTAAACTGAATTTGGCCTTTCTGTTCTGGAGCTTTACTACAGGGTTTTTAAACCTTCTAAGGTCATACTGGCATATTCTTCTCTATTTGTTAGTCTTTGCCTATGTCCTGGATAGAAATCTAGGTCTGTTCAGCATTTCTAAACACATCTGCGGACACTCTCTCATGTGGTCGTCCATGATTGGCCAGACTGTTTGCTACTGCTAAGCTCTCTGGAGCTTTCTTGCTTCTTAACACAGCACCAAATAGGTGACTGTGACTTACATAATGAACTGGCTTTGTCTCTGATTGATTTATTGAGTAATCAGCCCCATGATGGCCTGTCTTACTGGAACTGATACTTTTCGGTCCTCATGTTGAGAGTCTGCAAATGCCACATCCAGAATCAGCTTTAGACCTATTATGCATGAACAAGTGATGCAATGGCTTTAATGGGGAATTCCACAGATTTTTTTAAGTTTCTGTACAATTCAGTTGTAAGTACATAAACACTCATTTAGAGTGAATTGATGAGAAATGCTCTGTTCTAAAGAATTGTTTACCGTCGTGGTGATAGGAACCAGATGTCCAAAGCATTTATGCCTCAAAAGCTACCCCACAGAAAGCTATTACTTGAAATGGCTATTCATAAGCTGCTTATTGCCAGAGACAATGTTTTACAGTAGTTTTGAGATAAAAATTTGGCCTAAATCATATATTTTTTAAAACAGTTCACAATGGAGAGGTAAATGCAGGGCGCTGTAAGGCAAAATAGTCCTCACAGAAAATGTGTCTTTTCAGATTTACCACTATTTTACCATTTTCACCATTACATATAACACCTGAGTAGGTTCACTGGTTGTTTTGGATAGCAAATAAAATGGCTATTTGGGTTATTTGTATTGTAAACATCGTGACCCCTGGTTCCTATCACCACCACTGTAAAGAAATCTGAGTCTGTAATTCTCTATAATAAACCATTTCACTCAACCAGTCAGACTGTCTCTGTTTACATCTCAACCACTGAACTATGTACAAACCTTGAAAAAATCAGTGGAATTACTTTATGTCATCATCATGTTTTCAACATATGTTGGAGTTTAGAGTGAAAAAAAGAGTTTTGACACTTAAAAATAAAAATTCCAGATAGGATTCTTTGGAGCGATAGCATAAAAGTACCACTTTTGGTTCCCTAATGAACTTTTCAATTTAGTAGTTTCAAATGAGTTTTTTAAAGAGCCATCATATCAAACGGTTCTTCAGGAAACCACAAGTGGTTTTTCAGTGGGGAACTCCAGTCCTTGAAGTCCAGAGTCCTGTACAGTTTGGTAATTTTAATGTTCAAAAACACCTGGTTCAATTCAGCAGTTGATTAAGTGTAGCTGGTGTGTTAAAGCAGAGAAATTAGCACAATGCAGGATGCTGGCAATGAGTTCTCCATTTTTGATACGTTTTAGGAGTGCATTATATAGTGTTCTAGCCGACTGTGATGGACAGCTTATTGACGCTTGACCAAAGGTCTATGTAGGGCATGAATTCTGTTTACATCTTAACAGTGCAGTAAAGAGGCTTTAGGCTTTAAGAATCATCTGAATCAGAGCTGTTGTTGGAATCTGACCGAGGTGAAGACTTCTGTGGTCTGCTGGATGGTGGCAATCTTGGTCCACTTCCATTTCTGGAAGAGGCGTACACGGGTGGGGTTGTGGAGCGTGGCTGAGGGGTGTGTGCGGAAGAAAGTGGGGAAGCGCTGGCGGTTGGACAGAGCCGGGGAGCTGGAACCATAGGAGAACTGCGAATAAAGGGCAAATAAGAGCATAGTGTGAAAGCAGGTTTAGGAGAACTGCAGTGAGTCTGCCACACTCAGCAGAAACTAGCATGATATTTTTAACAGGGTTTTAAAGCTACACTGTTACTGTGCAAGACAAATCACATACAACCTCAGTTCACCTCTTTGAAGTCTCACCTTAACTAGCGAACAACTTTCAGCAAGCTGTAAGGTGAGCTTAATGTCATCCCAGCGTGGCCAGATGTTTTTGCCTGCCTTGATAAATAATTCACTTTGTGACTACATCAACTTCTGGCATCAACAGTACACCAATACTTGGCACAGCGTGTAGGTTTGACATTAATTATATTCCACAGAGACTTGTAACAGAATTGAACTGAAAGTCAGTGTATCGGCAGTGGTGAAACTGAAACAGAGAACTGTCGCTGTTCCAAAATTACAGGCTGAGCTGTCCTATTGCCTGAATAATACATCAGTCTAACTTTGTAGATAACCATATGACAAAATAATGACTGGCTCCACTATAGTCTTTGACTAAAGAAAAATCTGCCATAAGAAAGACTGTATATAAGGGCTTCTAGAGGTCTATAGGGAAGCAATCCATTAATGAGAGAATTCAATGCAGCAAAGCCATTTTTCTATGCTGCACCACCAAAGCAGATTTGAGGAAATTACTTGGAAATTACTTGATAACGCAAACCTCAGTAGACGCAAACAGAGTAAAAGAAATTAATTTGAAGTTAATCTCTTTCTCAGCTTCTCTTTCTTTCCCTCTTTCTCTCCAATTCATGCACTAACTTTCTGTATCTGCTTTCTTTTTCCCACTTATTTTTTAAACAGAAATAAGCAATTTGTCAGCTTCTCAGATCCATGTGACCCACCAACAACCGTTGCAGTCTGCACCCGTGATCAAATGACATGTTTTGTTGATTTTCTAAATGAAAATAAGTGAACACATTCTCCACAGAGAACACACTTCTGTACACTTTGATACACAATTACTACTTATTTGCTGAATTTAACATATTGAAAAAAAAAAAAAAGTGGACTGTGCAAAAGTCACAGCACATATGTTTCTAATATGTTAAACTAAGCAAATAAATGGAAATTGTGCACTAAAATGTGCAGAAAAATGCCATATTTAAGTTTGTGCCCTGTAAAGGATGTGTTCACTTATTTTCAAATCAACAAAGCATGTCCTTTGACCGAGGGTGTTCAAACTTTTGCATTCGACTGTATATCTAACACAAGATTTAATGTGGGAGTGGATAAAACAGTTCGTAAAGTGAAAGCGCACCACTATGAGGTTCCACATGCGAGCTGCTTCAGCCACCAGTGTAGACACAGAGCTGCAGCCTGGCATCAGTACAATCTTGATTGGCTCTGTGTAGAGGAGGTCATACAGCAGCTTAGTGGCCTCCCCCGGGTCACACTGAGACAGAGAGAGAGAGAGAGAGAGGGAGAGAGAGAGAGAGGAGAGAGAGAGAGAGAGAGAGAGAGAGAGAGAAACCAAACAATAATGACCAAGGTTAATAATTAGTTTAATCAGTTTACAGTTCATATTTTATTAAGCAAATTTAAATAGTATCTGGCCACTGACTACTACAATCTATTTAAAAATACTTTGCACACTGTTTTTATTTAAGAATGCCTGTCTAATAATAATAATAATAATAATAATAATAATAATAATAATTATAATAATGTCCACCTATATGGTTCACAAAATGCTTTAAAAGGCATACACAGAACTTTAAATAAAGCATAGTAAAATTTAACTGAAAAATAAAGGACAATAAAACAAAACTGAGTTTGTCTATTTATTTAGTTGTGGTAGAAATATTTCTGTTGTAAGCTACTGTCTGTTATAAGCTGCTCACACGCATTCCTTGTACTTGAAAACATACACTATTCTTCGAAAGTTTGGAATCAAAGTTTTTTTTTAAAGTGTGCAAAGTTGCTAACACCTTACTGAAGGGCGACATTCATAATGCTACATGACACTTACATAAGTCCTTCATGACAACTAACATAAACCTATACAGTCAATTGTAAAGGCTTATTCCAACAAGCATCAATTATCATAAAACTTTAAGGTGACAAAAGCAGCCTTTAGGACAAATGACAGTATTTGGAATAAGCCTTAATAAATGTTTATGAAGTTTTATGTCTGTTATCATCAAAGATTTATGTAGGTGTGATGTAGCCTCATGAAAGTTGAACTTCGGTAAAATATTACCAATGATTCTAATTTTGTGGCTGTGCAAAGAAAAACATGTATCTCCAAAATAGTAACTTTACAGGAGGGCAAAAAGCTTCTTAACTTTTAATGTAGGTTAACGTAAAGAGGTGTTATTCCAAGTGATTCTGTATAATTTCTATTGGAACATTCATCATGGAATTTTTGTACAGTATAAAGGACATGAAATGATAGAGAAAAATAAAAATCACCAAAAATGGAGATACGTTTTATTTCAGACAGTGATGATATGCTCATCCTGTGCACTTTCACAGGTTCCAAATAGGAAGCCTTAAATGAAAATGAAGAAATATTGAATGTGTCCAGGATGATGAACAGAGCTGTAGATTATTTTAAAATGATGAAAAGGCTGCACAGCATCGAGAATGGAGTTATAATAAAATAATACTGAGAATTCATTATATTTTAAAAGTGGAGATCAAATCTCAAGGCAGATAACTTGACAAAAAATGTAAATAGATAATTACAGTATATTATTATTATTTAACTTCTTTTTTGTGTAACACTTAAAATATTGACACACAAAGTACCTTTCTGTGATTTATTTAAATATTTAAATTTACCCTGTACATATTATTATTGTATATATATAAAATAACAAATTCTGAACTTTGGAATAGTAGTGTGCTTCAGCAATAAAGCTTGATTCTCATTCACTTTGCACTATGCACTAGGACATGCTGACTCACTACTGCACTTGTGTACATTAATGTATCAGATGAAGAGCAGCATTTGTAAACAGAGAGACAAATAGAGTGTTATACTACCAACTCAAAAAAGATGATTAAGATGTTGACCTCTATTTAATTTTGCAAAGGGATTTACATCCATCAGGACTTTACATGCATCCATCAAGATGAGAACGTCTCTACACTCACAAAACATTCTTTCTCCAAGACAAACACAGAAGTCTGTCAGTTAATAGAGCTTTAGTAAGTGGATTTTGTGAAATAGTCAGCATCAAGCCTTCACAACAAGCCTCTGCTCCAATGGGCTGTAGACACACGAGGGATGATTCACAAACAATAAGGTGACTGTTACCAAACATGTCACGTATAGATTCTGTGACAAACAGAAGGCCACTCAGATAAAGAGAGCACCAGTGTTATGAGTTACAGTGTGTAATTTCTTATCCACTTATTTGTTTGTTTATATTACACATAGTCTCCATTCAGTTTCTGTTAGTCCCACAGCGATATGTGGAGATGAAACAATCACAAGCTGGAACAAAATTATGATTATCTGCTTCACATATCTGTACTGAGACAGAGATTTGGGTCATTCTATACGTTCATATGTGTGGGATTTATATAATTTTTGTCAATACACAATTTTAATTCATGTTATCTTAATACATGATCATAATTTACAAAACAACATGATTACATCTTGAATTGCACATGATCGGGCAAATCTTTCAAGTCCTCTGTGTTACATTGCTGCTACAGTTGCAAACATATGCAAATGTTTTAACAACCCTAATTCAAATTACATGTTTGTTGATTTTCTAAGTGAAAATAAGTTCACACATCCTCTATAGGAACTAACTTAAATTTTTTTCATTTAAATTTTCCACAGTATGTTAAATTTAGTAAATACACAGTGATTGTACAGTAAAATGTGCAGAAGTGTGTTCTCTGTAGAGGATGTCCTTAAATTATTATCATATAGAAAATCAACAAAATGTAATTTGACCGGGGTGCCCAAACTTTTGGATATACCTAACATAGTTCAGAAGTAACAGGTTACATTTTTAATATTTTGTTGTCTGTACTATACAGAGCTCAAAACATTTGTCAGTTTCATCAGGCTTGGATGTTATTTGAGAACTGTGTCCTCTGAAGTGATGGATCTCCATCCAATATATTTGGGATGAGTAAGAGTGGCATTTGTGATCCAGAATTAATCATTCAACAGCAATACCTGACATTGCTAATGCTCTAATGCTCTTGTGGCTGAAAGCAATCAAATCCCTACAGTAATGTTCTAACATCCAGTGTTAAACCTTTCCAGAAAAGTAGAGGACGTTACTGCAACAAAAGGGGACAAACTCCCTATTAATACCCTTGATTTCAGAGGAAATTTTGGATGAGGTGTCTACAAACTTTTAGACATGTAGTGTGGTTGATTAATTCTTACAGGCACAGAAAATGAGCTGTTTTACAATAAATACCAAAACTAGCTGATAAAAGCGGGTTTTAGAGATATCAGTCTAATTTTATTACAGAATTGATGGTTAAGAACATAACTATATATGACAAAATATGGCGTGTTAGGATACTAATACTAAAAAATATATATTGCTGGATGTGTAAAGGCTTACAAGTACCCAAAATTATACAATAACCTACCTGCATTTAAGATGGTGATTCTACCACTTGGTATCTCAGGCCTAGTGTACAAGGCTAATCGTAAGTTCAAATGGAAGAGGATACAGACCTAAAGCTTTTTTCTAAGGTCTCTCAGCAACATTTTACTTTTTGCACAGTGTCAATTGTTAAAAAATTTAAGAAATCTTTTCCCTCTAGCATCCTTCCCGAAGTTCTCGTGGGAGTCATGGCTATTAATCTAGTGCAGTCACCACATAGTCATCACCTTGAGGGCCTGAGGGGGATCGGCAAGAGGAACAAAAACTGGCTCCAACTGAGGCCTAGAGCACCAAGCGCACACAGGAAACACTGACACCACCTATTAGTAATGCCTGTTGGTAATGCTGACAAGTATTAGTTAAGTCTAATAATGAGAGGGTAATTAAATATTTGAATGGGACAAATTCTAGAGGTCTCTGAAGTGCTGTAAGAAGTAGGTTGCCTAGTTTGACAGTGTTAAAGCAGCGTGTCACTGTGGTTGAGAATGGGGTTGTGTATGGATACAAAACCAAATTACTACTTCAAAACAGAGAGAACAGTTTTAGGTCATAGTACACTGTAAAAAAGGGTGAGGATATTTAATTTGGCCCTCCAGAAAGTTACACTAACTCCAGCCACTGACTCAATGAAACACATATTTATATACTGTATGGATGATAGTTCAAAGTCAGAGTTGAAAACACATTTTTGAATGACTTGGACAAATCATTTTGCTTTGAATGACTCTATATCTTAATTATGTTGATTTTATTAAAATAAATATTCAAACATTCCATTTTGTCATCAACAAAACAGTCATAAAACTACTGAAACTTTACCAAATATTTCAGGAATGACTGCTTCGGTAGTGACAATTTTAGCTAATTTTGGGCAGAACTCAAAAACGCTAGCGAGTACATTACTAGCAAACACAGCTTTGAATAGTTGTACACAAATAAAATCATAATATTAAGAAAAACATTTTTTTTTTAAACGAAATTCATGATAAATTTAAATATTTCAATTTCACTTTAAAAGAAATCAGGAAGATAAAAAACAACACTAAAAAATTTAAGTACTATTTTCACAATTTAAAATTAGTGAAGTTAAAGTTTATACACACCTCCCAATAAAAAGTACCCTATAAATGATAATCTAGTATATATTTAGCTTATCTCTATCTCTAATAATGCCTTAGGTTTAAATAGATCAAAACATAATTCCTGTAAATACCTAAGGTCTGAATACTTAATTGATTGTTTTAGGGATATGTACATGTATTTTAGTCCTTTCTAATATCAATACTGATACCATACTGAGTAAACTACTTAAAATTAAGAAGTTGTTAGTGTGAATAAGTGTGATGTCATTAATCATTAAAATCTAGCTCATTTTAATTGGAGCACATTAGCTAGCTATGCCACTTTAGTTAGCTTTGATTGAGCAGCGCTGCAGTGGAGAAGAGCAGGTTTTGTTCTACGTCAGAAAAGCACTTCTGTACAGCTGTAAGTAAAGCACGTTTCATCTGTCTCTTTCAACAACAATCTCTGTAGCACAGTGACAGCAGGACTCACATCTGAGGCAAATTTATCTGAGGAGCTCACTTGTGGAGTTCTGCATCTTGTCTTTTAGGCTGGTTGAGCTGTAGCTGACCATCCTCTAAAGCCAGATATACACTGTGTGATTTTAGAAACCTTGTTTTTTGGTGACTCACATTGTATGTTTGAAAAAACAATCATGCATAGACAAAGTCTAGGATTTATATACTCACACTGTACGAAAATGCCTGGTCTGACTGATGTGCAATGTGAGATGCAGCCCTTA